GCTGCGTGGAGGGGCCAGCAGCCCCAGGACCCTTCCCGGAGATGGAGGGGACAGAGCCAGGATGGCGCCGGGCACGAGGCTCCGCAGGGCTGCGGCCACACCGGCGGCCCAGCAACTCACCCACGTAACTGTAGGAGACTTCTGCTGAGCCCAGGCTGTCTGTGATGCCCTCGGTGCTGCTGGAGGAGCCGTTCCCTGCAAGGACAAGGACAGGCAGAGGGTGGGCACGGCCCACGGGCAGGGGGTGAGGGACAGGGGACAGCGTGTGGCACTCACCGAAGGAGCCGTAACCGTAGCTGTCGTAGGGGCCGTGGTTCAGGAAGGAGTCGGGGATGCCACGGGAGTGACCTGAGGGACAGGAGCGTCCCCGTCACGCTCTGTGGCACCCCTGTCCCAGGGCACTGGGCACAAAGCAGCTGCCACCACCCCTGCCCTGGCACGGAGTGAGCTCAGAGCCAAGGACAGAGCTGGCACCTACCCAGGAGTGACGCTGGGAGTTCCCGGAAAGCCACGAGAAGAAAGAGATAGACCTGGTGAGATGGAAAGCCCCAGCACAGCCCTGCCAGCCCCACAGCTGGGACCTCCCTGCCTCCCTGACACCGGGATTTATCCCCAGGGACTCAGGGGGATTCTGCTGAGAGGCAGAGGCTTTGCCACAGGCTCAAGAGGGCAGAACAACGAGGAATTCCCCAGGCAGACCCCTCCATGCTGCTGGCTGCTGCCTCCAGCCCTCACCTGTGTCCAGGCTGGGCGAATCCATGGCTGCCAGGAGCCCCTTCCTCTTGTGCTGCCTGCCGAGGGAAGGGCCAGTTTGTGCCACTGCTGGGGCGAGGTGACACAGCCCCGGGGCCCCCAGCAGGGCTGTGCCCACGGGCTCAGCACCCAGAGGGGCACGGGCACCCGGGCACTCACCGGCAGCTCTCCCAGCAGGCGATGAGCAGCGTGAGGATGTAGAAGGAGAGGAAGATGCCGAGGCAGAAGAGAACACTGCGCACGTAGGCCTCGGCTGTGCAGAGCCAGGACAGGCCCTCAGTGGGGCTGGCACCTCGGGGACCCTGCCAGGGTCCCCACAGAGCCCAGCACCCCCAGCCCCCCCAGACTCACAGGTGATGGCAGGTGACACCATCACCTCCAGGGTCTTCTGCCGGTTGTGCTGATCCACGGGCTCATCTGGAAGAAGGCAGGGACAGGGCTCAGCTCTCTGCCCCGTCCCCAGCTCATCCCCACACACGGCGGCAGCCCCGCTGCAAACCTGGAGAGGCATTCTTGGAGAGGGGGTAGTAGGGCAGAGCCCCCCCGCACGCCTCGTCCTCCGTCTTCACCACCACCACCACGTAGAAGCTGTGGCTGGGGAAATCCTTCTTCTGCAGCAAGAAACAGGGGTCAGCAGAGCCCACCAGGGCGTCTCCCATGCCAGAGGCTGTCCCAGGGACATCCTTTGCAGCACCAGGGAGGGACTGGGCACAGCTCAGCCCCCTGGCACAGCCCCGTGCCCACCTGCACGGTGATGGCCGCCTTCTTCGTCATGGTCTGGTACATCCCGATGAAGGCCACGTTGTTGTCCAGGTCGTAGACAGGGCACTGTGGGGGCAGAGGGGCTGTCAGCCCCGCCGGGCACCACGCGTCACCCAGAGAGGAGAGCACTGCCCCGACCTACCAGGATGTCCTGGATGGAGATGACGGAGCAGGGGAAGGCCATGGCTGAGGTCACCTTCACGATCACCGAGTCCACTTCCTCGGGGAACTCGTACTTGAAGTACTGTGGGGACAGAGGGCCCGTTGCTGCCACGGGGGCCACGCTCCTCTCCTCTCCTGGCTGCAGCCCCCCGTGCCACGCCGTGCTGGCTGCCTCACCTGCGGCTGGGCGGCCGTGGCGTTGAAGCTGAACCTTTCATTGGTCCTGCAGAGAGCACAGAGATGGGTGGCGAGGGGGGTCCACAGCCCCTGCAGCCCCCACGGGCAGCGGGCAGGGAAGGGCAGAAGGGCGCGGGGCTCCCCTCACCGCAGCACGAAGTTCTCCACGCGCGTGACCCGCAGCTGGTAGGAGGTGTTGAGGGACAGCGTGGACACATCCACGTAGAAGTGCTGGGTCTCCACCTCGGCCTTGGTCTGCGGCTGGCACAGCGTGCGGCTCACCTCCTGGTACGCGTATTTCCGCTGGTACCTGGGCAGGGAGAGCCCAGCTGAGCCCAGGAGTGTGCCCAGCAGCCCCTCCCAGGGACCCTGCCTGGGGCATCCCGGCCTGGGGAACTGCTGGGTGTGAATCCCAGCCTGGGGAACTCCTGCCTGGTGAATCCCATCCTGTCAAACTCCTCCCTGGTGAATCCCAGCCTGGGGAACTCCTGAGTGGGCATCCCAGCCTGGGGAACTCCTGTTTGGTGGATCCTAGCCTGGGGAACTCCTGAGTGGGCATCCCAGCCTGGGGAACTCCTGTTTGGTGAATCCCATCCTGTCGAACTCCTGTTTGGTGAATCCCAGCCTGGGGAACTCCTGCCTGGTGAATCCCAGCCTGGGGAACTCCTGCCTGGTGAATCCCAGCCTGGGGAACTCCTGCCTGGTGAATCCCAGCCTAGGGAACTCCTGCCCACCCCCCGGTACTCACAGGCCCCGGAGGATGAGCGGCACCTGGAAGGAGACCACCGCCTCCTTCTGCCTCACCACGAAGAGCACGGGCTGGTCCTTCTGGTCCGAGAGGACATTGACGGACACCCGCACGCCCTCGGTCTGCAGGGACAGGCACAGCTGAGCCGCTGCCCGGGCGGGTCGGGCCGCGCTGGCTCCGGAGCAAGGCTGGACTTTGCCCGGCCGCCGTGGCAGGGCTTGCCGTGCCCCGCGCACCCCGCACGGCCCGGGGGGCGCGGAGCCCGCGGGGGTCGCGGCGGCGCTGCCCACCCCGGCTCACCCGGTTCCTGCGGACGCTGTGGTTGAAGGCGTAGATGTTGAGCAGGTTGGCGTGCACCCAGTCGCTGTAGGTGGTGTTGAACTGCGCCTCCTTCTCGTGCACCTCGCGGTCGCCGCGGGGCAGGGGCTGGGGCCGGACGGGCGGCGGGGGCAGCAGCGCCCCGGCCAGCAGCGCCCAGGCCAGCACGGCCGCCGCGGCGCCCGACATCCCGCCAGCATCCCCGGCCAAGGTCCGCGGGGCGGGACGGCACGGACGGGACGGGAAGGGACGGGACGGACGGGGCGCTCAGCCGGGGCCGTGCGCCATGGCCGGGCCGGAGCGGGGCCGGGCGCTGTGGCGGGGCGCGGAGCCGCTGCCGGAGCCGCTGCCGGTGCCGGTCCCGGTGCCGGTGCCGGTCCCGGTTCCTCTCCCCTTCCCGTTCCGCACCGCGGTAAACACGGACCGGCGGTGACGTCAGGCCCGGCGCGCGCTGAGCGCCCGGCCGGGGAAGTGACGCGGCGGGGGGGGCGGGGGGAGCGGGCCGGACCCGGCACCGACCCGAGCCCCGGGGGACCGACCCGAACCGGGGGGACCGACCCGAGCCCCGACGGGACCGACCCGAGCCCCGGGGGACCGACCCGAACCGGGGGGACCAGCCCGAACCCGGGACTGACCCGAGCCCCGACGGGACTGACTCGAACCCCGGGGGACCGGGCCGAACCGGGGGGACCGACCCGAACCCGGAGAACCGGCCCCAGCCCGGGGGGACCGGCCCGAACCCGGGACCGACGCGAGCCCGGGGGGACCGACCCGAGCCCGGGCAGACCGGCCCGAACCCAGGGGAACTGACCCGAGCCCGGGTACCGGTCCGAGCTCTGGGACCGCCCGGCCGGTAACCCCCGCCCCGGCCCCGGGGGACGACCCGAACCGGGGGGACCGGGCCGAGCCCGGAGGGACCGACCCGAACCCTGGGAACCGACCCGAACCCGGGGGAACCGACCCGAACCCGGGGGGACCGGGCCGAGCCCAGGGGACCCACCCGAACCCGGAGAACCGGCCCCAGCCCGGGGGGACCGGCCCGAACCCGGGACCGACGCGAGCCCGGGGGGACCGACCCGAGCCCGGGGGGACCGGCCCGAACCCAGGGGAACTGACCCGAACCGGGGTACCGGTCCGAGCTCGGGGACCGCCCGGCCGGTAACCCCCGCCCCGGGGCACCGAGCTCCGTGCGCGACCCCGCCGGGGAAGCCCGGCTCCATGGGGAAGCACACAGGGGATGCCCTGTCCTATGGGGCAGCCCCTGTCCCATGTAAAACCCCATAAGGCAGTCCCTGCTCCATATGGGACCACGCAGGGGAAGCCTGGCTGTACAGGGGAGCCCCATGGCTCTATAGGGGACCCCCATGGCTCTATAGGGGACCCCCATGGCTCTATAGGACCCCGGCTCCAAAGGGGAGCCCCTGCTCCACATGGGATCCTGCGGAACCCCACAGAAAAAGCCCGGCTCTGTAGGGCAGATCCTGCCCCCTCTGGAACGCTGCAGGGCAGCCTTGTCCTGCATAGCCCCTGCTCCACAGGAGACCCCACATGGAGCCCCTGCCCCAACAGGGAAGCCATGCAGCATTCCAGACGCCCACCCAAACCCCCTGCCCACCTCCCTAAAGCCCGTGAGGACATGGAAGAATCCTGGCAGGGAAGGGATGGGTCTGCTCCATCCCCTTCTCCTGCTGCTCTCCGCATTCCTCCCGGGCTTCCTGCAGCCTCTCTCATTTGTTGCACCCTTCACCACCAGAGATGGAATAATTCAGAGTAACTTTTTTCCCATGCTTGGGGGAAGCGGCAGTGATGCCACAGTGCATTTTTGGAGTGTATCCCAAAACACCCCCCATCCCAGCTGCTGCTGAGCCCTCCAGGCCTCTCTCCCACAGCTCTGTGACCTCTCTATCACATTTTATTTGCCTGCAGCTGGGGGTTTTGATTTAAAATCCCCCTCTGAAGGGGCTCAGCCCCGTGTCACCTCACTCAGAGCCACTTCCTGGGCTGGCTCTGATATCCAGGATTGCTGCCACCACCAGCTTCCTGCTGTGCTCCACGGGACAAACGCCACGAGACAAGGCACTGCTGCTATTGTGCACTTTATTTCTCCGGGCCCTCCTGTCCCTGAGGATCCCAGTCTGGACAGTCTGCCCGCGGTTTCCAGGTGCAGGTGGCGGCGCTGGCGGCAGATGGGACAACCCCAGGGACAGACATGTGGGAAGAGAAGCAGAATTCCGGCCGGCTCCTCGGCCCTGACGGAACTCGAGCCGCCTCTTGCAGGATGGCTGTGAGCGGGGTTGCGTGGGGATGTGCATTCCCTGCTTGCTCCAGGGCCACTCGAGATAAATCACTCGGGAATCCAGCACCAGCCGATGTCCTGTCGAGGGCCAAAATCAACCAGTGCCCTCCACCTGCAGCACCGTGCTCGCAGGTTTGGGTGCAGCACCCAGATCTGCACGGGGAAAGGAGGGAAAACAGACAAAACCAGCCCCAGACGGAGTGGGGGGAAGCAGGAATTGAACGAGGAGCAAGGATCTGGCTGAGCACGACTCCCAGAGGCGCAGTGGGAGCTTTGGCAGCACCTGCCTGGCCCCATGGAGACCTCCAGAAGTGACCGAGACAGGGCAGGAGACGGCTGGGCACACACACACACACAGGCTGCGACACGGTTGGTGAAACATTGACATTTATATCGAAATATGCACTAACAGTGACTTCTACCAGCCGATGCATTTTTGCCAAAGCAGAATCACAAAGGTTGTGTCCCGGGGAAGGCTCGGGGCAGTGGGTGGGCAGCGAGGGGAGGTATGGGGGCCTCCCCGCTCCTGCCTCACCCTCCCCCGGCACCTCACAACTCTGTCATTTCACATCTTTTGTTTGTTCTCCTCTCTGCTGCATAAACACGAAACTGGACATGCTCACTCAGAGCAGGCCACAACCCCAGCCCAGCCCCGTCCCGAGGGACATCCAGAGCTGGAACTGAAGTTTTCTCACAGGAGGCACTCGGATTTCAGCACGGGGTGAGCAGGAGGCACATCTCCTCTCGCCCACGACACCTCTCAGGTGAGCGGGGCAGTTTCCTGCCAGGCAGCAACAAGCAGAGCCGAGAGCACTGAACCAGCACAGAGCATGGCACCTCAGCAAGCCAAGCCTAAGCAGAGCCAGCAGAGCCTCCCCGGTGGCGCCGGAGCCTGCCAAATTCCCTGGGCCACTCGGCACCCTGCCCAGGGGCTGGCTCCCAGCGAGCACAGGGTGCCGAGCGAAGCCAGAGCTTTACTGCAGAGTACATTCCTGGTTAGCATCTCTTCAGCCAAATGCAGCAGCAGCAGCAGGGAGGGAAGGGAGCAGGGATGCAGAGATTAAACAAGCACACGGCCTTTTCTCACAAGCCTGGAGAGGGAAAGCTCTCAGGGAGCAAGAACGGGTTTTATCCCGGCTCCCTGAGGGGGCTGGGGATGGGATAAACCCTTCCCCAGGAACTCTCCACTGCACTGCACTTTTAACATCTGATTTTCCACTTGCCCTTCCCCAGTACTTCCAGCCAGAAGCCTATGGGAAGCATGAGCAGTGTTCTCTCAAAGCCTGCCCTGCAAGGCCATGGAGCTGCAGGGAGCAGCACCCCTGCTCTGGATCATGGGGGCAGGATGTGATCCCTCCTCTCCATGGCACTCTGCAGCTCCCTGTGTCTGATCCTGGCCAGGGGAATGCTTCACCTTTCCTTCATCTGTGTGTAGATCACATATACTGGAAACAAAACACACACTATGCATGCAATCCAGGCAGGAATCCTGCTATGATCAAACCTACAGGAGGAGGGGGACGAGGTGGGACGTTAGGGGATTCCTCAACGCTAGGTCAGAGTTACACACCAGCCCCTTGGCTACAGCAAAGGGCAGACAGACTATGTACAGTACCTATGGGCTTCAGCAGAGCCACCTGACACCTGAACACCCTCCCTTGGAGCACGGAGTGAAGCTGTTCCTCCCAGGTTTACCTGCCTGGCTTCCCGCGGGAAGCACAAACCCAGCGTGGCACCACTGAGCTCCAGCTCTGGCAGGTAAGGCAGGGAGGAACAGATTTTGGTTTAAAATAGGTTATTTGCAAGTCATCAATTCATCTAGGGCTCTGCTTCTCAGGTCCAAACCGTTTCTTTCTGGAAGAGAAGGTCTCAGTTTGAAATGAAAAGTTGTTTCGCTACAACCAGCCCTCTGAACTACAAACCAAACCAAAACTCCACTGAGCCACAGCCCTTTAGGAGGGCACCTGCCCACCTGGCTCCCTTGCTCGAGGTGAGGAACAGTGTCCAGGGCAGGAGAAGCTACGCCTTAACTCCACTTTTTACTCTAAGAGGCTGTAGTTGCTCAAATAAAATGTTTATACAAGTAAACCAGTAGTGATAAGGAAATATACACCTTGCTATCTGTAAAGCTTCAGAGTGATTTAGGCCTTGCAGCCAGGGGCTCTTCATGTGGGTTTGCTTTAGAAAAAAAAGGATGTAACAGTCATACTTAATAAAAAAATAGAAAAAAAAAAACCTGCAAAGAGCCCGGGCACCTCGGAAGGATGTCTGTCAGTTCCAGAGGAGTGAGGAAGTGACTGCCAATTACTGGATCATTAAAATCCTACACTGAGCAACTGCTAAAAGCCAGCAACATCACGGGCAGCAGGAGCAGGGGCCAGCAGCAGCACCCAAATGGGAGCATTCCCAGGAGAGCTGCGTGGGAGGAGGGGAAGGTGCCCCAGGAGAGCTGCGTGGGAGGGAAGGAGCCCCCGCTAGCAGGACTGGGGAAACGAGCACAAGACAAGCACTGGGGAGTGTTACACGAGTTCAGGTAACTGTTTGCTTCTTTAAATTTCTGAATTCCAGTTTTTAAGCTGCTTCAGAAAGGAGTGAGAAAGCAACACGTGTCATTTAACCCCCCTCAGTAAAACAAACAACAAACAAACAAAAAAAACCCCGAACAAAAAAACCCAAAACCGCCTAGAAGGTGGAACCGAGTTTGGAAAAATGCATCTGTTCTGGCTTTTGCAAGTGGAATGTGATTCTTGTTCCCAGGCAAATACACAGAGCACGATGGCTGCAGCCAGGAACGGTGAGCCAGGAGCGGGCTGTCGGACAGGCTACAGGGGGTCTAGGACAACCACAGGGCAACAAGACATGAGGGGCACAGAGTGACAGTCCTGTTCTCGTTTCAAATGAGGAATGGTTTAAAAGTAAAACTCTTCTTCAGCTAATTCCCTCCTGCAATAAAACCAACCCAGCCGGCCCTCGTATGTACAAGACCAGTTAAACATGAGCCTTCCCCCTCAAAACACTAGGTACGGACATCCGGTAACATTCTACAATGGAAAGTGCTTTAAGAAAGAAGGATTCTGTAGTGCCAGTGACAGAACTGATCTGATGGGCTGGATGATGCTCTCCACGCTGACAGCAGCCTCAGGCCAGGGCAGCTCGTTTCTCCTCGGGGGTCTCCTCCAGCAGCTGCATGATCAGTTCGTGGAGGGGCTTGCAGACCTTGGCGTAGCCCCCGCCCGTCAGGTGCAGGAAGTCGAACATGTCGTGGTAGGAGATGGTGCCATCCGAGTGCACGAAGCCCACGTCCACGTCCAGCAGCTGCACGTTGGGCAGTCTGGGGAGCGAGGCTTTCAGCAGGTGGTTCACCTTGGCGTTCTTCTGCCGCAGAGGGTTTGGCTTCTCTCCACGAGGTAGCAGGCCCTGGCACGAGAGGAGGCAGAAAAGAGCTTTGATGCTCTGATGGCATCAGGAGCCCTGCTTTCCCTTCCAATTCAAGATTTAGGATGTCTGTGACAAGAGGAAATCATCCTTGAATTGGGGCTAATGTGAAATGCAAGTGAAGGAGCCAGATGAGCTCCAAGCACTGGCTGGCAGGGAAACTGCTTTCTTTTATTTTTTAAATGGATCAGCTTGTGCTCTTGCCATTCACTTTCAGCTCCTCAGCAAGACAGGCAGCAGCATCCTTAGGACAAGGAAGCCAACCAGGATTCCCAATGCCAACTGGGATTTGGGCACCTATTTTCCCCTCACAGGATTTCCTCAGCAACATTGGTAAGTGGGATAGTTACTGGGAATGAGTGCACCCAGCTCTGGGAGGGCCAAAGGAGGGCTCCTGCAATGCCAAGCCAGCGAGGGGAGGCACAAAGCAGAGGACAGATCGGGGGACTGCCCTCCCAGCACCGCCCAGTGACTCCCAGTGAGGCAGAGGCACAGCCCAGGGAGCAGGGACCCACCAGCACGATCACTTTGGCACCCAGTGACTCCCAGTAAGGCAGAGGTACAGCCAGAGGCACAGCCCAGGGAGCAGGGACCCACCAGCACGATCACTTTGGCCTGTGGCTGCTGGGTGTTTATCAGGCGCACGATGGCCTCGATTCCCCCTGCGACTTCTTCTGCTGTGTTTTCGTGGTTATTTGTTCCAACCCAAACAACAATGACCTGCAAGGAGAGAAAAATGTTTGCAGCTTTTCCAGAGCCAAGCGCTAACAGGGCTGATGACCCTGAAATCCCTGCATAAACATCATCTGTGGCCAGGGAGCTGCAGGGAGAGTCAGGATTAAGAGTTCAGCCCCGGGGCTGGCACTGCCCACTGCCCTCAGCCACTTTGCCAGGCCTGCAGCTGCAGGTGACCTTCACTGCACACCTGGACATCCCCACTAACTCTGCAGCTCGTACCTTGGGTTTAATGTTCTCCAGTTCACCGTTCTTCAGTCTCCATAGAACGTGGCCCGTGGTGTCTCCACCAATCCCAAAATTCAGTGCATGGAGCGGTGAGAAGAGCTCTCTCCATATCTGCAAGCAGAAACCAAGGTGCTGCTTCAGAGCAGCATCCTGCCTGTGAGGCAGGGACACCACACGCTGTCCTCAAGGTCACTGAGGGCAGCCACGAGCCCTGCTCTGAAATCTCACTCCACAAAGGGCACTTAGACAAGAACCAGGTTTTATTTGGAGTTGGAAGAGATGGAGATGCTGAGGTTCAAGCTCTCAGACCTGGCACAAAGGAAGGAAAGGTCTCTGGAGCTGTGATTTGCTGCACTCATCAGAGCCCCAGAGCTCTGATCTATTGCAGACCTTGATGTCTCTGAGCACAGGGCCTTTGAAGAAGGAGTCCATGACCTGATTAAATCCTTCTCATCCCCAGGTAACAAAACTAGAACAGAGGGAAGCAGCTCTTGCAGAACAAAGCTGCTCAGCTACCACGTCAGAAGAGAACTCTTCTTTCCCTCAGTAATTTTAGGGAAGAACCAGTAGACCAATGTTCCTGGCACCCTGAATTCTACAGGCTAAGTGTGTTCTGGCCACACCAGGAACTCGATGGCCCTCAGGAGGCCGGAATCTGAGAGCTGAGGGGCTCTGCACGTGTGCCAAAATGCAGGCAGCTGCTGATGGCCTCCGAGAGGGAGGCAAAAGCAGCCAGCTGAAGCAGTGTCCAGGCCCTGGGGAGCTCAGGAAGCAGGGCAGGAAGGCCTCAGGAGACGGCAGTGAAAACGGGAACAGTGGAAGTCACCAGTGTTACACATGATCAGCCTCTGGGTTAGAGAGAGACGCTCCAATTGCTCCAACCCACCCCTCCCTCCCTCCCTTTATCCCTCCCTCCCTACCTCGTACTGCTGTAGCAACTGCACCATGGAGTCCCCCACGAAGAGCACGTCGGGCTCCTTGTCCTTGCAGTCCAGGACAAACCGATTGTGCTGTCAAGGAGAGCCACAAGGTGAGCTCCAGGTGACAACTGCTCCTGCTGCAGGACAGGGACAGCTCCCAGCCAGCTCCCCCCTGCCCTGCCCTCCAGCAGCCCTGCTGGCATTAACCCTGAGCTGCTGGACACTGCTCCCAGACCCAAAGCCTGTGAGGATCCCGGGTTGGATGAAAGTTGGGGTGGTTCAGTTCATGGCCATTGCTCCTTGTCCTGTCACTGAGCATCACTGAGCAGAGCCAGGCCCCATTTCTGAGATCACCCCCTGGAGATTTTGTATGGATTGATGGGATCCCTCTCAGTCTGCTCAGGAATAACCCAGCTCAGCTCATCAGAAAGACACTCCAAACCTCCCTTCCACCACGGCAGGACACACAGGTGTGACAGCTGCCAGCTCCAGGCTGTCCTGAGCTCAGGGTCCCAAACGTGGGCTGGCCCAACACCCCGCAGTGACGGGGACCCAGCTGCCAGCCTTACCTGTGACATCCACCTGTCATCTCCCTGAATGTCCTCAGCAGCATGCGGCACTGCTGCCGGGTTGCCGTCGCCCATGCCCATCCTGTTCCTGTGGGAAGAACAGCTCACAGCCACGCTGCCCGCCGCAGAGGGCTGGCACAGGGCTGCAGGAATGCCCTGCACACAGCCCTGCCTGCTCCCGGGAGCGCTCAGAACAGCAGCACGGGTGCTGCTCCGTGCCAGAGCGACTCTGCAGCAGGCACTCCCTGAGCCAGGGGGCATGGGGAGCACAGCCCAGCTCCGAGGATGCTCTGCAGCCCCACGCCTGAGCCACCAGGCTTGAGCAGCTCAGCAGCAAGGGCTGGGACTCTGGGATGAGTCCCTCTTAGCACCACGGAGCCAGCTTACAGCTGCTGAGCTGCACACTCCAGGTGGATAATCCGGGGCTGGGACTGATCCCATTGATCCCAGAATCCCAGAACTGCTACAGATCTCCGGAGATCACCCAGCCCAAGCCCTGCCGAGGAGCAGGTGACACAGGAGTGCACCCAGGAGGGTCGGAGCACCCAGAGAGCGAGATCCCAGATTTCCCTGGGCAGCTGTTCCAGTGCCCTGCCTCCCCCACGGGAAGAAGTTCCTCCCCACGTTGAGGAGGAATTTGTGTTTTAGTTTATGGCCGCTGCTCCTTGTCCTGGGTCTCGCTAAAGAGAGCCTGGCAGCTCCCTGGAGATGTTTGGGTTTCCTTTCCCCAGCCCGACCAGGCCCAGCTGCCCATCCCAGGGATGCTCCAGCCCTCAGCATCCCCGCACATCCCCAAGGATCCACAGCGCGCAGCGCAGCGGGGCGATGCTTCCGCGGCCGCCCGGTGGGGGCACACCGCGCCCCGGGCCGGGCCGGGCCGAGCCGGGCTGGGTTGGGTTGGGCCGACTGGGCCGGGCCGGGCAGGGCGGGTTCCCTCCGCACCGCCTCCCCCGTCCCCCCCGCTGCCCCGCGCGGCCCCGCGGTGCCCCCGCACTCACGGCGGCTGCGGCTCCTTCCCCCGCGACTCCATGGCGGGCGCGTCCCCTCCGCTCGGCCCCCGCGCCTGCGCCGCTTCCGCTTCCGCTGCCCCGCGCGCGCGCGCCCCCGGGCCGCCGCTTCCGCCCCGCGCCCGCGGAACTCCCGCCTCCCCGCCGTGACGTCACCGCGGCGCCCCCCGTGACGTCACGCTGCACCCAGCCGCAGAGGGGGTGGCGGAGTGATGTCACCGGGAATCCTTTTACCTGTTTTCCGCGGGTTTCGCCCTAAAAACCACGGCGCCTCCCGCCCCCCGCCGTGACGTCATTCTACCGCCCGTGACGTCATTCTGCCCCCAGGATGAGGCGTGACCCGCATGTGGGGGGGGGTCCCTGATGTGCCCCGCAAGGAGTGACGTCACGAGAGCAAGTTTCCAATTACCCGTGGGTTTTGCCCAAAAACTGAAGCAGCTAGAGGGGCACCAGATGGGGGGGGGGGGGGTCTCACCATGACGTCACTGAAGAGTGACGTCAGACTCATCTCCCATATCTCACTGCTTCCTCTCCAAAACCTCAGCGCCGCAGCCCCTCTCTGTGACGTCATTCTCCCCCCGAGACGAGGCGTGACCCAGGTGTATGTGAACAGGAGCGGGGGGGGCTGTCCCTGCTGCCGTGACGTCACGCGCGGCAAGTTTCCCATTTCCCGCGGGTTTCTCCCCAAACCCGCAGCGCGCGCCCCCCCCCCCCTCCGCCGCCAGGGGGNNCCCCGGCCCCGCCGCCCCCGCGGCCCCCCGGGCCCGCCCGCATCGGCTACTACGAGATCGAGCGCACCATCGGCAAGGGCAACTTCGCCGTGGTGAAGCTCGCCACGCACCTGGTGACCCGCGCCAAGGTGAGTCCCCCCCCCACCCCGCGGGGGTCGCGGCGCCGGCCCGGGGAGCCGTGAGGGAGCGGGGAGCGGCCCCGAGCCCCCCCAGCGCTCCGCGGGCGCTGCCGGGGAGCGGGGCCGCTGTCACGGGTGTCCCCGCGGGTGGCACCGGGATACCGGGGAGGTGCAGCGGGGGGATGCTCCCGTGCTGCCCGGGGATGCTCCCGGCGAGCCGGGGGCCGCACGGACGGCGGGCGGGGGGCAGCTCGTTTCTTACCGAAACGATGAGAGTCGGTGGTGGCCGAGCCCTCAGGGCCGTGGGAACAGCGTGAGGAAGGGCCTCCCCAGGGAGCGGCGGATCCCGGCGGATCCAGGTCCGGCCAGGTGAGCCCCGGAGCTGGCAGGAGATCCGGCTGGATCCCGGCTCGGGCCAGCCCTGCAGCGCGGCCGGAGATCCGTGAGGAGCCGCGCTGCGCTGCCGGCCGTGCCGGTGCCACCGAGCTGCCTGACACGGCGGCTCGTGCTGCATGCAGCAGTGCCAGCCCGGGATGTCCCCGGAGCTGCGGCGGGAGCGGGGCTGCCATGGGCAGGCAGGCCCGAGCCGGAGCCCTGCGCCTGCTCTTGGCTCCGGGCTGCCTCCTTGGAAGCCGGGGTTGTCCCTCTGTCAGTTCCTGGGGTTGTCCCTCTGTCAGTTCCAAGGGTTGTCCCTCTGTCAGTTCCCATGGTTGCCCCTGTGTCACTTTGTGGGATTATCCCTCTGTCAGTTCCTGGGGTTGTCCCTCTGTCACTTTGTGGGATTATTCCTCTGTCCGTTCCAAGGGTTGTCCCTCTGTCAATTCCCATGGTTGCCCCTGTGTCACTTTGTGGGATTAGCCCTCTGTCAGTTCCTGGGGCTGCCCCTCTGTCACTTTCTGGGATTGCCCCTCTGTCAGTTTCAGGAGTTACGCCTTTGTCACTTTCAGGGATCGCCCTCTGTCACTTTCTGGGTTTGTCCCCTTGTCAGTTCTCAGGCTTGCCCCTCTATCAGTGTTCCCAGGACTGCCCCTCTGTCACTTGCAGGGGTTGCCCCTCTGTCACTTTCTGGGGTTGTCCCCTTGTCAGTTCTCAGGCTTGCCCCTCTATCAGTATCAGGGATTGTCCCTCTGTCACTTTCTGGGGCTGTCCCTCTGTCAATTCTCAGGCTTGCCCCTCTGTCACTTTCAGGAGCAGCGTTGTTTTGGAACAGGAGGAGAAATCCACCATCGCCTTGGTTTGTTGGAGCTCTGGCTCTTTGCCCGGATAATAAAGTGAAATTAATTCCAGGGGCTATTTAAACATCAGTTATAACACCTCCTGGACAGTTCTTTGCAGAGCTGGGCTGTATTTGCCTGCCCTGACGGCTATTTTGTGCCTGCAAGTGCTCGATGCCACAATTGAACCTGCACTTGAGGTGCTCTGTGCAGTTGTTCTCCCCATGATGAACCTGAGCCTTGCTGAGAGGAGCAGGGTGATGGGTTCAGGTGCTCCACGTGCAGGGGGCTGACCCCTCTGAGGAGGTCACTCCTGGAAAAGGAGGGATCCAGCTCCGAGCCTCTTTCCTGTTCCTGTTTCCAGACTCCCTCCTCGGGTCAAGGTTTCTTCTCAGTGGTGCTGACTCTGAAGTTTGCAAAATACCAAAGCAGAGACCACGTTTTGTGCAGGAATAGTCAATTTTGTCCAAAGAATGGCCGAATACTCACACAAATTTGTCTGGAAATTGTGTTCCAGGTTTACAGGGCCAAGGCTGGATTTTGCACCTTGGCTTTGGGTGGTGGAAGGGGATACTAAGCTTGGAAAGCTTTGCTTTACAGCAGTGTACACTCATTCCTACTGCCCTGGAGTGACTGAGGGTGGGCTGTGGGGTTCAAGAAGCAGATTTTGGTGGGATGGGGAGGTGCTGGGGGCTCTGGAGTGGCGGGTTTCACCTGCAGCACCTTCCCTGCACGGAGCAGATCCAGTCCCTGTCCCTCTGAACTCCGGGGGCTCCCTGAGCCTGGGGAAATACCTGTGCTGGAACAACTGCCATCTGTTCAGCTGAGCTGGGATAGCTTGGAGCTGAAACTTGACCTGGAAGCTTTCTTAAGTCCGAGGTCAGGTTTCCTTTCAAATCCCAGCCTCTGGAGAGGAGTGCGAGTGAATGGATTGGGTTCTGCTTGCAGACCCTGAGCACTGGGGGTTCAGTACTTTTCCTTCGCTGACAGAGCTGTTGCTGTTGGCTCTGGAGAGGAGTGGGGAAGGAGAAAGGAGCTGCTTGGTTCAGGCTCTGGGACTCATGAGATTAGAGGGGAGGTGTTGATGGAAATGCATTGGAAAGGGCAAATCCTTATGGGGAACTGTTTTTGACTGGCAGCAGAAATACAAAATAATGCTACTGCGAGCTTGTCTTCATCACAGTTACACTTTTAACACTTTGACTTAATGGAAACAACTCGGAAGCGAGTAAAACCTTGGCAAAATGGTCCCATTTAGGGATCTGAAAGAATTCTTTGATCACGGAACGCAAGCGCAGCCGGGCTGCTGCCTGTGCTGGCAGCCCCTTCCCGAGGTGATCCCGCTCTCCCAGCAGCAGCTGCGGAAGAGAACCGGGCAGTTCAAATATAGCCACCAAATCCCTGCACAAACTTGACCCCATGTCACATTCTCTTAGAGAAAAGCGGGTTTGCTCGTCACGGCCCCTCCTTGGGAGCCGTGCTCCTCCACCGTGTCAGACGGAGTTCCACTCTGAGTGTCTGTGGGGCTTGGGAATAGATGTACCCCGTGATTTTGGGCCTTTTCCAGAAGGTGAAATTAGTGACGGGGTGGGCTGGTGTCCATTGCTGAGCCTGGAATTAGAGGTGGTCTGTGCATGGGTGCTGGATCCTGTTTTCCTTTCTGATGGACATTTACCAGGTCAAGTGGACTTTGACATGACAGCTCAAGATAACAGCCGGAGCATTCCTGGCTTGTGTCCCCTTTTCCCTAAAAAGAGAAACGGAGGGCAGTTGGGTGCCTGGTCTGGTCTTGAAGGACTGAGATTTTCCTGGCCCTTGGGAAGTTGAGCACTGCACTTATTTAGAGAGGAGCAGGGCACCCGGCCCTGCTGGGCTGGCACGTTCTGCTGACACCGAACGTTGCAGTTTACACAGAACTGCATTTCAGGAGCTGAATGTGGGTCAGCAGTGCTGGGGACACTGAAGAAGGGGAATGTTAATCATCCCAAAGGGCAGGAGGCCTGTATTCATAATTGTCTCCGCTGGAGCCGATGGAATAGAAGGGAACAGTCTGCAATTTACGTATTAACCAAGGCAGCAATTTACATTCAGTCCCTGCCCATGCAAAGTTGGACTCTTGTGCTCTGTCAGAGCTGCTCTGATGGCTGGGCAGGAGCTGGAGCCACTGCTCTGACCGGGATGAACTGGACACCTGCAGGATACCTTGCTGCATCCCTCCTTCTGTCCCCCTTCCTTTGTCTCTTCTCATCTTTTACAAGAAACCCTTGTTTCTGTGCTAAAAATCTTCAGAGTGACCTGCTGAATGAATTGTTTTCCACAGAATTTCCATTTATAAATCATCCAAGTGACTTCATTAGAATTCCAGCTCTGTTCAGACGGTGGGGTTGTTTTTAATGCCACATTTTTTCATAAGGGCTGGTCAGGGAATGTTCGTGCTTGTGCCAAGGAGCACATACCTTATGTTCCCATGCCCTTTGGGTGCTGTGTTTGAGCCTTCAGGAGCTGCTGGGGCTGAGGAGGACAGAAAGGGACGCGAGGGACGCTGGGCACTGCTGAGAGCTCTCTGCTGTCCTGGTTCCATCCCTTCCATCAGCTCCATGTGGCTGGAGATGCAGCTGGGGCACGGAGCAGCGTGTGCCTGCCGTGGCTGCACTGCTCTCATGGAGTGTTTCACTGGCAGACAGGAGTCACTTCCATATCCATCTTTCTTTTGAAATGGGATTGACGGTCCTGGAGGAGCACAGCTCCTTCCCAGGTGCAGTGATCTTCCTGCTGTGCTGCCTTTGCTTCTTGAGGGCTGGTTGTCAACTTAGGTTTGAGTTAAATTTCAATAATACGTGGATGGGCAAAGCTCAGAGCACATTTCACTGGCTGGGTATTGTGAGATCCTGTTTAAGGGGTACCTGGAGTTGTGTTTTAGTGGGTAGTAACCCCAATCCATGATGCTTTAATCCTTGGCATGCACAGCACATGCACAGCTGCAGAAAGGCTGGAATTGAGCAGATTTTTTTTGAGGTTTTTAAGGAGCTAAGCCTTGTCTGGAGAACAGGAGGCAGCTTTGCCCTCAGTG